TCAAATGATTGTTTAATTATCATGGATGAGAATGTCGGTGTTTATGGGGTTGTCGAAGTTTTGATTTGTAGATAATATCGATATTGACGGATATTTTAAGAAAAAATGAATATCGTAAAAAAATTTTAAAATTTTTTATTAAAATTGTACAAAATACTAAAACAATCAATATTATATAATTTAAACTACTTCAATAACAAAAATAATACGTTTTTTATTATAATATGAGAGTTATGTTGTATACTGTAGTAGAAAATTATCATAATTATATATAAATTATAATTCAAATATAATTTTATATACTCATTATAAATAAGGCATAATAATTTAATATACTACATAGAGATTAACTACCAAACATAAGAGTACAAATAGACTTAAAGTGCTTTTAGTATTAAAAGGAGTTTCTAGCAGGTTAGAAAGCACTAGGTAAGTTCTGATCTTGATCTAAATAATACCTTTGTCAAGATATTATTTTGAATAATTGTGGATGTAGTTGTTGATGTGCCACATGTATGTTTCTTTATCTCTTCCCATTATTAACACACAAATTGGATATTGTTAGTTTATCGAACTTGATGACTAGTTTTCAGAGATGTGTAATTACACTTCAACATTGATCTGTGGTAGAGGATATACTAATATATCATACAAATCATTTTGGGTTTTGTACTTCTGAAGTAGATCCCATGTGAAAACTGTATGAATAACCATATGAATTTTGCTCTGTTCCTAAGCTCATGAAATCAAAACTCAAGGCTATAGAATCCTCATCAATTTGACTCAATTGAGTCACACCACGTATTTTTATAAATAGTTTATTTAAAAAGTATATTTAAAAAAAAAACTAATTAAGTCTTAATATTTGTTTTTTATTTAAACCAAGTTGTCACATTTTATTAAAAAAATATGAAAAAATGCGCTACAAAATTAATTTTTATTAGAAAAAAATTCTCAAGATTTTTAGACATTTTGTGGATATTTTTAAAAATATCCTGAATATTTACGGATATTCACGAATTTTACGGATTTTTTTAGACATTCCAGATATTTTATGAACACGTCAAGAAGAATGTCTTTCTTTTTTATATTCATGTCGAGACTTCAAAATATATAGATAATATGTGGAAATGTGAACTATATCGTGGACATTTTCATCCATGATTATCATTTGGCTTTTGATATAGACTTGTTTAATTATCATTTGCCTTTTGATTTAGATAACTCGTTTGTGATTGGAGCTAAATTTATCCATATTTATTGGTGAAATAAGTACATCCATAGTAAATGTCAACTTTGTTACTTCTGAAAGTAGACAAGCAATATTGCGTCCAAAACACATGCACATGTCGGTGTTTTGTCTCGTAAAAAAAAAAAAAAAAAAAAAAAAAAAAAAAAATTTTTTAAATCAGACACGAATGTTCTAAAGGGCATATAAAATACTGTACACTAATGAGCCAAAAGGAATATTACATTTGAATTGTAATATTATTACTGTCCATTATGGTGTTTTGCAGATCTTTGATCATCTTAATTCTTAATTCATTAAATGCAATATTTTTTGCTTTACCAGAGAGCGGCGTTGGTCAAGTGCCTAATCTGCGAGGTGTGTGTTTATGAAAACATAATAGAATGAAGTAATATAACAGTAATTATATGTACATGTATATATATTATATGTAACGGTAATTATCAAAAAATTATTCGAGGTTTCACTTTTTTTTTTTTTTTTACTGGAGTGAAGGAATTCGAATTATGAACCTCAAGTCCTCAACACTACAGACAGGGGTGTGGATCTATCTTTAAGCTATATATGTAACTAGGATTTTCCAACTTGATTTTATAGATTTGTGGTAATTTTTACGATATCATCCTGAAAATGTGATCTAACCTTTAATTGAGTGACAAATAGACTTTTAAGCATTTACTAACCACATTTCATTAGAAGGCTAATGAAGCTGTCCTTATAACTGATCTCGAACAAATATGGTTAATGTCAAAATGATGTCGCTCTTTTATATTTGAAAATATATAAAAATATGCTCAAGCTAAAGATATAAAACAACACTTCATCAGTTTGGATAATCTAGTGGTTGATATCTGATGTTTTTAGTGTTTGAACAATAGTCAAATGGTCTGTAGCTGATTTGAATTCAATGTTCACACCATTTTTCTTTAGGTATTATTGAAATTCTAAATATTTTCTTTTTCATTCGGGCACGACCAACAAATAAATAGTGCATTTTATTACTTGATATATACAGAATTAAATTGTAATACTTGAAAATAAATTAATTTCCTTTCCAAAAAAAAGAAAAATACTGTTAATTTTTAAATAATTAAAATGTCACGAATTACTTTTCCACCAATAAACAATAAAATAAGAAGTATAGGCAAAAGCGCATCGCAAATGCTTGTCTAATCATATTTAGCCAACGCAAGTCATATAGACATATATACGAATTATGCATCTGAAGACGCATTTTAAGTTCATTTCTTTTTTCTTTTCTTTTTTTTTCCAGACGAGTAACAGATAAAATGCAAACAATAACATAGCGTTATACCAGATTTAGAATGACAAGATGTGGGTAGAGTATACTGGTACATGTATACCCCAACTAAACCTCAATCAAGCACAACTTTTAGAGGCATTCACCTCCAACCTATACACACAAAACTGTACATACAGTTTCGTAGCTATGGCTATATTTCTGTACTAGATATGCTGTATCACCTATCTATCATAGTATTCTATTTCATTTTTTAAACTTTTTCTTATCTTATTTTACAATCAATCACTACTCCAGAATTATTTCCTTCTCTGGTGTATAGCGTGTAAATCCCCTCCCGCCAAACATGGGGCGCATACAAGCATCGTCGAACATTCGCCAATAGTAGTGAACGGAGTGCGCTGGAGACGTCCACAGCATCCCCAGCCTAGCTGTACGATGAATATCATCGTTGTTGCTGTTGGCCATGTCACATTCAGAATCTTGGCCATCTTGGCCGTTGTTAAGTAACGGCAGTCTCAGGCTTGGAGACTTTTGGAAGAGTTCAGAGGACATTGTTGTGCTGTCTGAGAATTCTTGTTGTGGAAGCAGTAAATGGACGAGAGGCTTGGTCAGTAATCCACACACCTGACGAAAATGAAAAGGAAATTAAGAAATGGGAACAAAAGAAAGGGAAGAAAACCATCAATAAAGGAAGATTTTAATGTTAGATATAAATGAAACGAAAGTTCTATGTTTATTCGAGCAGATTCACATTGCAGGTCTTACCAGATTAGTCAAGAGAACAACAGAGATGGTACTAGTTATCATGATTGCATTGTCTTGCAGTTGGGTATGCCCTGACCTTGTAAACTGCAAAGGCATAACAATCGTCTAAATACAAGTGCCCATGAATCCTAGAATTTCGTCATTTGGATAGTTCAAGGACAAGAAAATCATATATTGTATACAGAAAATAGCTGAAAAAACCAATATGAAAATAACCATTTAGTCCCAAGAGTGCAAAAGTTTGCTCAACAAATCAAAGAATATAGTGCCCTGCTTAATTGGCTTGTTAAATTTCGACTGACTAAGAAAACATGATGCCAAAATCTTACTCAAACACACAGCAATTAGCTTTGGGCAACCCAAATTTGTACCAGTTAAACCTTAAGTCATCTTTTATGAAAGACAAAGCGCTCGAGGTTGCAAATAAAAGACCTACTCACACCATTCCATACCTGATTATAAGCAAGGGCCACGGACACAGCACCTCGCATGAGTCCAGCCCACCATATAGTTACCTGTTAAATATAGTTTAGTTAGGAGTATTTGGTGGCCGCAATGCTCAATGTAAAAACAATGAAATTACCTGCTGCTTGAAGCTAATTTTGTCACTCTCGGACTTTTTAGTCAAGTTCGACACAAAAGAAAGCGGGAAAACAAAAGCTGCTCTTCCCAGCAAAACCAGGAACAGCAGTATCGAGCTGACCCCAACCGATGTCCCTGGGCTGCGAAATTTTGAAAATGAAGCTCAAATTGATATAATATATGCATGAATGTCCAATTAAGCTGAGCAAGTTCGTATAATAGATGCTGGCATTGCGAGGATTACTGACAAAAGCATAAGATAATATGAAAGTTCGAAGTTAATTAAGGTATCATTTCTCATATAAAGGCATTTACCTTTTGCTTACAATTTTCCACTTCTCAATGTCCAAGGCATCCATCCCGACATATAAGAAGATGAATATCTCTGCTACAAATGAAAATGTTGCAAAAGTATGCCTGCAAATGAGGAAAAAAAGGGAGAAAAATAGAAAAGTTACTAGTGTGATCGTTGTTCAAGAATCAAGGTACACTAAAACACAAGCATGCTTCCTGTATCACGTAATATAACAAATTGGGTTTCAGAGTTCAGAAAAAACTCTTCAGAGATTACATACTTTGTTGTGATTCTTGAACTCTCAGTTATATTATGCCATGTGTAGTGCGACATGACAATTCCGCAAAAGAACACAGTAAGAATGCCACTCAAACTAAAAAGCTGGAAAAAAAAAAAAAAAAACAACAACAACAAGCATCAACATCAGACTATAACGTTGTGTCTTAAGCCATTTAAATCAATATCTAAACTAAATTAGACAGGGCTTTCTGCTTTCTTTCTTATTTCTTTTGTATTATTAACAACAAAAGTAAAAAGAGTAGGCAGTTTTTGGCTCAAGAGATTGCAGGGAAACCTTACTTCTGCAATCATATATGAAAGATAAGCCATTAGAATCATCAGAGCAACCTCGCGGTCAGTAGAGTGCCTGAAATCGAGTGTAACTTTAGTAGAATTGTTAAGAAAACCATAATATACAGTACATTTGTCAACTATTTGTCTTATCTCTTTCTTTTGTTTTCTTTATGATGAGGATCAAACTAAAAGGAGGCTGAAACTAAACAGGCAAGAGGTGAATCATGAGCCACGCCTACCTGCCAAAGTACAACTTCTTTAAGGTAAAGGCACTAAGCAATCCAACCTGCACGTATAACAGAGCAGGTGTCATAAAATAATATGATTCCTTGTGCACGATGCATCTACATATTTGTTCGACCTCCCAACTTCAAACAAAGACAAAAATAGATTCATACTTGCAAAATATAAGCGAAAAGGTTCAAACAAAAGTGTGTTGATAAAATCTAGTGGTGACTGTATCCAAGCACTAAGAAGAAGAATCATCTACGCAAACACGAGGAAGGAATAGAGAAAAGAGACTCACTCCAAAACCCAGGGCTGTGCTTGTAAAAAACAGATACAGAAAGTTTCCAATAAACTCAATGGCGACGCTTGAAGTGATGTGAGAGAGGTCAAATTTCTGGATTGCATTAAAAAGCACCACAGATGTGGCGTCATTTACCACACCTTCTCCAAAGACGAGACTGTACAGTAGTGGTGTCTCATCCTGATTAAGCACCTGAAAAACCAGATCCAAACATCTTAAGGCGTGATCTTAGGAATTCACCAAGTCTTTTCAAAATTATAAACAGATCTATACCGTTTAAGATATAATGTACCTGCAAGGTGCAAACAGAGTCTGTAGCTGAAAATATTGCTCCAAGTGCTACAAGCAGTGAAGTAAACAATCAATTTACCTTTTCAGATGCCTCACACTTTTTAAATTCTAACAGAACATAACAGAGGTAGCTTTACAAACTTGCCACACAAAAAATAATGATGACAATGCTATTAAAAATGTAAAGAGCCTCTAATTTCAGAGGCATGTATCAAAATATAATGCCCAGGTTGGTAACTAAATTTAGTCCATGCATCCAAGGTAAATTCTAAGTCTAACCCCATCAATTAAAATTTAGCTGTCGCAAAGAAGAAAAATCAAAAAAATACACGTGTATCTTGCAAAATAGTTTATTACTTTGTTTAGACCGAAAATGAGAAAATAGCAGAGAATTACCAAGATAATCCCCCACGTCCAGGAAACCAATATCCAATCTCTTGAATAGATGAAGAGAACCTGTATCAAGATTCTAGAAGTTACAACCGGAAATTAACTGAATAAGCAAAAATCAAACAATTTGTTAGGTCAGCAAACAACTAGCAGCATCCTTAAAGCTAAATTCTAATCAAGAACTTTATGTGTGCGTATGTTGTATGTTGCATGTGTGCAGTGCACTCACGCGCACACAGACATTAGAAGAACCTTTTCTCCTTTTTGCATTTCACAAATGGCTGGATAAGCCAAGTCAGGTATATGCTATATCAGATAGTTGTTCGTACACAAATCACCCACAACATTGTGAAGCTTTAAATTACTAAGCAGATGATATTTAAAGAACTTGATAAACTAAGCATAGATCTTGAAGAGATAAGAAGAAACACAATTAAGTACGTTTTCCTCCTTTAAACATAGTTTGTAAAATATATAGTCATCAAAGAGTTCTTGGAGATTCAGACTTACCCAGCCATATGATAGCAAAAGATATCAAAGTACCAATAGCACCAAACAACGTGATGGTCATAAAGTTTCGAAAGAATTGCTTCTTTTTCACCTGAAACCTGGATAAAGAGAGGATAATAGAGAATTTAGCATCAAATAAGATAAGAACTGTCGAAATACATATGATCAATGTGATAAAACCAAAAAAAAAAAAAAGGACTGCCAAAGTATGACGGCTAGTGGTAGAACATAAAAAGATATTTATAAAACAGAATGAAAGATTCCCAACAAAACATAACCAAGTAATTTCACATATCCAAAGGGAAGAGTCTATTTAAAGTACCAATATCGAAGCTAAACTATAAGCATAATTAGGAAAAGATCCCAAGATTCCTACCTCTGCTGTGAAAGACGAAAATTTTATAATGAGAATAATGAAGTACCAGATCAAGACAAATGAAGCCATGTTTGATGATTCCAAAAAAGTATCAAGCTAATCAGAGCAATGGTTGATCATATAACAAAATACTTGTGATGGCCTTTATATCAGAAATATTGTACTCATAGAAGGCAGACATGGCATATGAAATTTGGTCGTTCAATAGCTAATAGTTGACTCCTATTGACCATGAATAAAGTATACTAAACCCAAATTGTTGCTGCTCATATAAGCACAGGTTTACATACACATGTAACTAATGTATGATAAAACGCATGACTACATATACTAATTCACCAATGGAGTATAAAAACCATCAACTGAAAAACGTAAAGATCATAGCAAAAAAATAATAATAATAAGGAAATAAATAAATATATAATACTCACCCAGCATTAAATATAATAGGCGGAAGAAGATATATGAAAAATAGTTCTTCGTTAAATAATAAGATGTGTGAGCTTTTTCCCTGGGTAGTTAGAAGAATAACAGTTCCACAACATAAACCCTGCAATACATACAAATTATAAACATAAGCTTTTCATAATCAACCATGGATAATCATGTACCCAAAAGCAAAAAATGAAGAGTAGGCAGCTAAACTTACGACGATAAGTGCAATAATTGATTCTGTTATCCATCGATTCTTCTCCAGAAGATGACCAATGATAATGCACGAGCAAACAAGCAGCACATATAAAGTAATTGCGTCTACAGGATCTTCAATCGAGGCCGATCCCATACCCAATATCGTCAACAGAGAGCTCAAACGACCCATAGCACTGCCCCAAACAACTTCACGTTTCACTGCCTCAAGCAAAATGTAAGTTCAGAATAGAAGCAAATATCCACATCTCCGCTTCAAATATCTTATGCAGAGCAACTTTATTTTCTTTCATTTCCAATCTTTTTTGTTTCGCCTACATTATTTGTTCTGTTTTCTTTTGATTTCTCAGCAACCAAACAGATACTAAAACAAAAAACAAAACAAAAAAAGCTTCTCCAGGAATGCGTAATATCTAACCAAAAATATAGAACAGAACTATTAGAATCCCGCATTGGCTAGAGATATTAGCATGATCCACTTAATAAGGTGAGGGTAATCCTCTCCTAACAAGCCGGTTTTGTTAAGTTAAGTTAGGCCCAATATCTTTTGATTTTTGTAAAATGGTATCAGAGCAAGCTCAGTTTTGCAATGTTGAGTCCCCCAATATCGACTTATTTATAACGGTTTGACATGGTCCACGCGGTGCGTGAGAGAGCGTATTAAAATCTCACATTAGCTGAAAATATTAGCATGATCTACTTAATAAAGTGAATATAATCCTCTCCTAACAAGCCGATTTTATTAAGTTGAGTTGGGCCTAATATCTTTTAATTTATGTAAAAAGAACTTCTCTCCACTGAGCCTTTACACTGCTCTTTTGGCCTAAAAGAGTACAAAATAGTAGGCTAAAGCTACAGATTTCTTTTTACTTACCAACCAAACAGGGAAAAAAACAGAGTAAAAGTAAATAAAAATAAAAATCACACAATTTTCTCAGCAACCAAACAGAATCAAGTTTTATAAACCTGATTTAAGAGCAAGCGATAGTGTGCATATTCTTCCTACAGTCAACTAAACCCGATTTAGCGATTTAAAGGAGGGAGAAGAAAAATAAATCAACCGAAAGAGAGAACAAGAGAAAACGTAATGTCGAAGGTATCTTAACCTGTTCGCTTATTTTCTCCTCCACTTTCTCAGGAACCAATCAGAGCGTTCACCTCCAATCCCCGACGCAACATAACCTCGGAAAAATTATTTTCAGGCTTTTTCTAGAAAGCTAAAGAGTGTAGAGAGAGAAAGGAACGAACTTTGAAGGAGGGAATCGTTGTAGTGTGAGAGAGAAATGGAAAGTTGAAAGACCGCGAAAGGAAGGACTGAGGAGGTTCCGCGATTTTATAGCGTGCGATTGAAAGACGAGAAAGAAATATATACTCGTATCTCTAAGCCGTTTGATCAACCAACCAAAAGGATCTAGTCGGTTACTGTGTTTGGAGACTAATAGTGATAGGACCCACTTCAGGGCTTCCTTTGTTGTTACTCTACGCTACTATTGTCCATTGCTGCTGTGAGAAAAATACAATAATAATTTATCTTCCCGGTGATAAATTGAATTTTTTTTTTTTTTTGGGGACACCTAATAGTCGTTAGTCAATTCCTCCTCTTTTTTATTTTTTTCACTTCATTTCCTTTTTGTTTTTGCTAGTTAATTACAATCCTCCTGAAATTTTGTGTTTCTTTTCAGGAATTGATATGAAAAATGAAATAAAAAATTGTTCAACTTATTATTAAAAAGTATATGAATCTGGATTTTATCTTTTATTTTTATTATAGCATCTTATTAATATAATTATTTAACTAACAAATATTAATTAAAAATATGTGATAAAAATTAAGATCTACACACTTTTAAGGAGCATTTGTTAAGATTTTTTTATGATAAATGTGGTTACTATATTTTTAACAGTACTGTTATGATGGGATATAGCCCATTACTCAGGTAAAATTATGTGGTTCACTTGTGGAATATAGGAAATATTTTATGTCCCCAAAAAGAAGGTATAAGGTAATTTTGATCTTATCATTTCTCATTATGTACTTAATTATTGCTTGAATTTATTACGTTCCCCATAAAGAAAGTATAAGGAAATTTAAACTTATCATTTCTAGCTATACACTTTATAATTATTTGAATTTAGTGTGTAGATCCTATAAATTTTAGATCAAATTTAAAATGAATTTACATTGAATTTTTATGAATTATTGAGAGTCCGATTAGTTCGTTGATTCAAATTTTTAATTCGAGTTGAGATGTGATTTTATGTTATAGCTTTTTACTGTAGTAAAAAAATTAAATGTGACTGTTTCTGAGAGTTTTTTATTGTAATAAAATTTGAATCAATAAAATGATCAGAGCTTGACTTTTAGAAGATTAGGTGAGACTGGTTTAGGGAAGATCTCGCAATGGGGATTCTTTAACCCTCACCTTTTGTGGGAGTGGATATTAGGACAAGAGATGTTCTAGTGTCATCCTTAGATTTAGAAGACGTTTGGTTAATGGATTAGAACCATGTGATTAAAATTATTTTTGATTTACGTGTATTTTTTGTGAGAAAAAATACTGTAGTAAACCACAAACTATAATTCAAATCAGGAAACGAATCCTCTAACCAAACAACACCTTAATGTTGAATCTCGTTGTAATCTCCGCTTGCATCAGATGGAGGTCGTGTGAGTCCCAACTCCCATGGGCTCATGAACGAGAGTCCACCTTTCTACTATTTATAGTTTTGGACACATACTATCTCGAGCATTTTTTTTTTTTCAAAAATAAAAAAAGAGAATGATAATATTGTAATTCTAAAAAACGTGACATTATTATTATTTTAAAAAGGGGACAGTTGCCGCTTTTGATGACAACATATTTTCTTTAAAAATAAATAAATAAATAAGAAGAAGAAAAGAAAAGGAGCGATTTGTATCGACAAACTGAAATAGCCATTTTATTGTAAGCATTTCAAGCCAGAAAAAAACAAACCAGTATTTATAAAAATATTTTATAAGGATAAAAGAGCACAATATTTATAATAAAAAAGCAGTATTTATAAGGATAAGAAAAAAGCATTTTATTGATCATATTGGCCGTGTCAATTAATAAAATTAATGCACCAAGGAATTCTTTAAAAAAAAAAGGATAAGAAAGGAAAGAATTTAAATAATATCTAAAAACTCTACAAGATTAATACACTAATAAAAAGTTTAAAAGACTATTTTACCCTTTAAACAAATTTTTAACAAATAAATTAAATGGATAATTTAGTAATTTCATAAAAATTAATACCAAATTAGATCCTTCCATTGATGGAAGGATCCAAGCAATCCTTCACTTTTTAAGCTTTACAATACTACTTTACCCTTTAAATAAATTATTAACAAATAGTTTAAATGGACAATTTAGTAATTTCATAAGAATAATGCTAGAGACACCAACTCAAATCATAATTTTTGTGTACTAATTGATGTGACACGTGAGTTGTTACTTTTACATTATTGGGTGTTTAAAATATTGTCACCTCAATTAGTGATAAAATATTACATCTACCGATAAAAATACGACAACTCATATGTCACATTAGTTAGTACATAAGAGGGGATTTGAGTTGGTGTCCTTGGCATTACTCATTTCATAAATAATTATCATTTAGGAGACATTTGATTTATAGATTAGAATCATAAGATTATAACTATTTTTCGATTTACGTGTATTTTTTGTAAGAGAAAATACTATAGCGAACCATGAATTATTATTTGAATAGGGGTACGAATCCCCCAACCAAACCCCTTTAGTCTTTTAACTCTTCTATCAAACAATATGAATTTATTATAATCCTTTCCATCATTCTTGTTTTTTATCCTCTAATTCTATTCATCATTCGTACTCTCTGAGCCCGTTTAGTTTGTTAATTCGAGTTTTTAATTCGAGTTAAGATATGACTTTATATGAGAATTTTTTACTATAAAAAAAAAATTAAATGTGACTATTTTTAAGAATTTTTTTACTGGAATAAAACTCAAATTTTAAATTCAAATTAGTAAAATAAGCTGAGTCCCTATCTCTCCCATCAAACCGGTGATATCCAACCTAATTCGCACCTAAATACCAGCTTCACTAGTGATATTGGGCCAATGACTCCGGTTTTTGGGCCCAACAAGGTACATCGGCTCAATACTTTACCCGTCCCGACGAGGTCCTCCTGGCCCAATCTTTTGGGTCAATCCTGCGGACGTAGTGGCCCATATGCAAACACGGTTGTTCTTTTGGAGTATAATTTGAGTGTAATTTTTGAGTTAAATTTGAGTTATAACTTAAATTGAAGTTATAATTTAAATAAAATTAAGTAAAATTAAATAAAGTTAAAACTTAAAAGAACGTGAACTTAAATAAAATTAAACATTAAATTATCTTTTTTTAAATTTTTTTAGATAAAAGAACATGCCATCAATAATGACAAAAGCAACCGAACCCGGATCCGAAACAAGCTATCTGAATCTGTTGAGAGTCAGAGTTGAGACAGAAAGAAAACGGGATAAGAGAACGCATAGCAGAGCATAGGTAAAAGGACCCATCACTGCCTCACTGTTCTCTCTCTCTCTCTCGGTCTGGTCCGGTCTGGTCGACCCCCAAAAACACCACACCACACAAGACAAGACACTCCCACCCCCCCATGAGCCCGTTCCTAGATTCCATCGAAACCCAGATGAACAGAATCGCCATTTTCTATCTCTAATCGGCTTCCCAACATCTCTTCCATTTTTCACATAGATCTAATGCATCTTTCGTAGCTGATCTGTTGTGGGTATTTCACCATTTCTCGGTTATGTAATGTACACACACACACACACACACACACACATATATATATATATATATATTGTAGAGAATTTTGAGAAGTGAAAAGAGAGACACTATTAGTATGTCTTTGAAAAGTGTGATCCAAGGAGTGAAAGGAGAGTTGGGAAGCATATCAAGGAAAGGGTTTGATGTGAAGTTTGGTAGATCGAGGTCGCAGAGAGTGGTCCAAGATAGTAGCGGTTCGGTCAAGGTTGATGATGCGATGAGGCAGAGCTGTTGGGCTAATATGCCTCCGGAGCTTCTCAGGGATGTGCTTATGAGGATCGAGAAGTCCGAGGACACGTGGCCTCCTAGGAAGAATGTCGTTTCCTGTGCTGGGGTTTGCAGGAATTGGAGAGACATCGTCAAGGAGATTGTCAAGTCGCCTGAGGTTTCTGGGAAATTGACGTTTCCAATCTCTTTGAAGCAGGTTTGTTTTGGAGTTTCTTTTTGTTGTTGTTGTTGGGAAATTGATCTCATTTGTTAGCTTGATCTTCGTTTTGTACCAAGTGGCGAAATGGGTTTGTGTTTTTTTTTTTTGGCGAAGTTTATTGAAGAATGATCAATTTCTTTTGAGTTTTCTGCATTGGAAGATCTAGCAATGCCAGTTATGTGTACAATGGTTGATTCTTAGCTTTTGAAATGGAATGTAGAGTAATGTCTTTTATGAGATCTGATTATAGAGTAAGTGACTACTTAGCTTCCCTAGGACCACTTAGATAGTTCTGAAGGATCAAGTAATGAACTTTGAAAAAAATAGAAGATGTGTCGAGTGTGTGGAGCCTAATTATTGTTCTAATTCTACTCATTAGGGGCGGCCGATTTGGGGATCAGGGTTTGAGAGGAAAACATAGAGAGTCATGAATGGTGTGATTTCTATTATAATCCTCTTCACCATAGTGAAACTCCGTTGCAGCTGGAACTCGACGCTCTCACATTGAAAGTGGATCATTATAAATCTCGTGTGTTATTAGTATATTTTTGCTTTCGGTACTAAAAATTGGGGCCTAGTTCTTTACTAGTGAGATGGTCCTAGTTTGAGCACTATCTATTTAACGAGCATAGGAATTAGGTATGTTTTCGCCAGCTAATAAATATATCTATATGTACATTATATATAATCATATTCCATTTTTTTCCTTTTGCAGCCTGGTCCAAGGGATTCTGTCCTTCAATGTTTTATAAGGCGCAACCGTAGCAACCAAACATATTATCTTTATCTCGGCATAAATCAAGGTAACTCTTTATACCCCAATCAAAATATATTTTGGTTTAGTGAGATTCAATATTGTTTGTTGCTTTTTGCAATATGCAAAGATTATATCTTTTTGATTGTGCTTTTGTTTGCACTTTTTCTTCCTTTCTTTGTTATGTTTCTTTCTGACCCTTTGGCACTAAAGTCCACCCTAATAATTCCAGCTTCCACTGATGATGGAAAATTCCTTCTTGCCGCTCGGAAATGTCGACGTCCTACTTGCACAGATTACATCATCTCTTTGAATTCTGATGATGTATCTAAAGGTAGCAGTACTTATGTTGGGAAGTTAAGGTATACTTATCAGACCACTTAGTCATTTCAATGTCAAGTCCTCGATCATTCTAGGCCTGAATTCAGCATCTCAAATTTCGTTTATGGCAGATCAAACTTTCTAGGTACCAAATTTACAATCTATGATGCCCAACCTCCAAACAGTGGAGCCAAAGTCACTAAATGTCGTTCCACCAGGCTTGTAAATATGAAGCAAGTCTCTCCAAGAGTTCCTGCTGGAAACTATCCCGTCGCTCATATTTCGTATGAGTTGAACGTCTTGGGCTCCAGGTATGAAAAACTCTCTTGTAAACTCGCTTAGAATAATGGAGTTTATTTGTTGATTCTTTTTCACTTGCTTTCATTAGACTGTACTAATACATTGTGTGAATCAGGGGACCGAGGAGAATGCAGTGCGTCATGGATGTGATCCCTGCTCGTGCCATTGAGCCAGGCGGTGTAGCACCAACGCAGACTGAATTTCTGCATAGCAGCTTGGATAATTTCCCATCCCTGCCGTTCTTCAGGTCAAAATCAACCCGTATTGAGAACTTTCAACAAGAGCTTCAATCTGGCCAAAACGAAGGGTTGCTTGTATTGAGGAACAAGGCCCCTAGGTGGCATGAACAACTGCAGTGCTGGTGTCTGAATTTCAACGGACGGGTGACAGTTGCTTCGGTCAAGAATTTTCAGCTGGTTGCTTCTCCAGAGAATGGAGTCGTGGCGGGGCAGGAGCATGAGAATGTCATTCTTCAGTTTGGAAAAGTTGGGAAAGATGTCTTCACCATGGATTATCAGTATCCCATCTCGGCTTTTCAGGCGTTTGCCATATGCCTCAGCAGCTTTGACACTAAGATCGCTTGTGAATGAACGACTTAACAAGCATGATTGACCTCGTAATTCCTACTTACCCGGTAGTTTGTATTTACATCAATGTAACATTGTTCTTTCAGATCCGCTTTTTGCATAGTCTGGTATCTGGGGGAGTGCTGAATTCGTTCGGCATGGTTAAGTGTGGTTTTGAAGCTTTTTTCGCTCAATTCCAAGAACCCCATCAGAGTTGGTTCTCTCCTTTGTGATTTTGAGTGATGCAGTTCTTCGCAAATGACTCAACGTATTCGGAAGCAGAGAGTTAAAGGTTGTATTGAGATGAGATGTAATCGTGTAAACACCAAATTTGTCTAAATATTATATGACTGAAGTACATGAAATTCTAATATTTTAAGATGTAAAATTTATGCTTCACCAAAACGTTAAGAAAATAAAATTAAAAAAAAAAATCGTCATTGATGTTGCCTTTTCTCTCTTTTTTTTTTTCCGTCCTTTTGGCTATTACTACTAAACCCACGGAAAAATCAGCCATAAGGATGCGCGCCACGGTAATTGCACCTATCAAAGCAACTGAAAGAACCATCGAGATGAATTCAAATGGAAGAAAAAAAGTCTTTTGATAAATGAATTTCAATTTGTTGACTATTATGTATTAAATCGTGCTCTACAATCTGGTTTGTCTTTTAGTCCAAATAATCTTGTACTATGATGCATCCGTAATAGTATTTATTAGAAAACTTGTACAAATCAGCAAAATAAACTCATTCCCAACAGTCCGAAGATTAAAATTATTATAATATTTTAAACCATTCATGAACATCACAAATAGGTTACATTACGGCTTATAAAAGTTTTCTAATTACTAAATTGTCTAGATAGAATCACTTATTGGGTGTTTAGTATGAAGATTCGTGTCATAATTCAAATCATGATTCATGACTCGCAACAATATTTTCTCTTAAAAAAACACGTAAATCGAAAATAATTTTAAATTATGATTGTGAATCTATAAACTAAACGTCCACTTAGTGAAATCCATTTATGTGAATGGTGCTATGTGAGTTTTTGTATGATTTGTTATTTATCAAAATGACATTCGCATTATTTTCAGACGGCTTAGCAAGACCAGATGTTAGCATCTGCCATTGTCTCCTGTTCTACAAACATGCGCAACAGGCTGCTATTCAACAAGGGACTTCAAACCTCAAATTTTTAGCTTATTTGTCTTTTGTTAAATGATTACAGCAAGAAAGGATAAGGAAGGAAAAATCATAAGAACCCCATTTAAGATCTTATTTCATTAAATAACAATTCAATGCCATCCACGTACAGCTCTGCACAAGAACATTTCGTATATCACGCGTGCTGTCATGAATGATCTTCATTTGCTCAACAGAAATTGGATCAACATCAAGCACAACTAGTACAAACACATGCATACACACAAACACATATATATATATATATATATATATGCATAGCATGCCTTATTGTAGTCAAAGTAACGGTGTCAGAATGGAGGTCCACCAGGACCAGGAGGACCATAAGGGCCACGAGGTCCACCAAAGCAATCCTGTAGCACCCAGCAACAGCACAAGCAGTAGAAGCTGCCAAAACCACATAAAGAGAGTTTTTAAACTTCACAAATACATTACATTGCAAATACCAACTTCATACAGAAATTTGCTGGCTAGACACATTCTGGCATGGATTAATCAGAGAATTTACACATACCAGGAAGATATCATATTGCATAAACCATCAGCAAAACCTCCAAAAAAACCCCCAGGTCCAGGACCCCAACCGGGGCCACCTAGTCCTGGACCCCATCCCGGCGCCCCTGGTCCGGGACCCCAGCCAGGCCCCCCTGGCCCACCAGGTCCCATCAGAATGAGTTCACCGGACTAACACCCCCCCGAGCTTCTGCGGCCACCGCCCCGGGCAAGGGAAGGAAAGATTGGGACTCGTTAGTAATGCTATAACAAATATTTCAAAGGTAGCGTGTATAGTTTAGCTAAACAAGTAGAGCAAATATATATAGAAACTCGGACAATTTACTTATATTACAAGAAATCGATACGCATCTCAAACTCAATATAACACTTGAGAAGGCAAACATTTTCACGCACAAACCGGATGGTCAAACTAGAAAGTCATCCTCCGCAACCAAACATTCAAATAAAGACATATCAGTACGCACATGTAGCAGTAGCTCATGATTGAGTGAGTCAAACTCAGCAACACTTCAAAATTTCCTAAATCATTAAATTGGAGTTAGTGGGGTCTAGGTTGCAACTTTTGGGTTTAGCTCGCAAGCACTAAAAATGGCTTTGGTTGTAACTTCTTTTCAGAGACAGATGTTGGAAATTCCTATATTGAGAAACTAATCTGAGTTATTGTATTCATAGAGCTCTAGCTCTGGCAATGGTTGCTCTAGATTTCATCATAATAGAAATTCATTAGCACTAAAGACAGCAAAAGAAACTTTACCGCGTCAAACAAACACAATGAAATGTAATTGTTAAAATAAGAAAATAACATTTTGGAAAACTAAAGCATTAATAAGATATGCACCAAAATCCAAAGCCCCAGAGGCTCTAACTTTGATAGAACACTCGTTTAATTTAAGATCATATTAAAAGAGAGAGAGAGAGAGAGATATATATATATATATATATATATATAGAGAGAGAGAGAGAGAGAGAGAGAGATAAAGGTATGATTGAACATAAATTATAATCTATATTGTAGTCTGTTTAAATGAAGACCCTTTACCCAAAAAAAAAAAAAAATAGAGCAACTAATCAGCCAAATCAAACAGTATAAACCCAGAATAAAGGGAAGAAAAAAGAAAAAGCTTTCTAATTCATTCCCATGTGTAAAAAATCGTTACAGAAGATGCCTCAGATTAGCATTTTGGCACATTCTTCGTTGCGGCAAACAACCCACGCAGAGAAAACTCTAGCATGGCGCACAAAAAATGTTGTCGCCACTCCCAAGTCCAAAATTTGTCATCATCGGCAGCTTATTTTCCTGCCTTTTCCAGGCAACCAAACAGAAAAAGGAAAATAGTGGAAGTGGAAATTAAGAAAAATAACAAATAGATCATCGGATTAGCGTTAAGGCACATTTAACGACAAGCCGTCTGAATCACCCTTCTCATCATCAACGACGACGTGATGATTGAACAACACTGTTAAAAATTTATGAATTCTAACGTGCGTGGAGTCTTGACGGCGTACTCTTGCTTCGACTAGGGTTTCGGTCTTCCAGAAATGTCCAAATTACACGAGATATTTTTTTTTTTTTTTTTGCATATACCTTTGTAAAAATGGGCCATCCGGCCCAGCCCAAGGAGGTGGACCGGCCAGCAAATAAAAAAAAAAAGAAATAGTAAAAAATAAGTTAATATAAAAAATTTAAAAAAAGTATATAGGTCAATTTTTAGTTATAAAAATTAATAGTTTATAACTTGTCAAGTTATGATTTATAATCAGATAAATTATAAATAAATTTGTCAAGTTATGATTCATAGTCAGACAAGTTATGGACAATTATGGACAATAACTTGTCAAGTTATGGTTCATAACCAGATAAATTATAGACGAAAACAGTAATTTGACATATTTATTAACTTATATAAACTATTGACCTATTAATTTTAATTCATCTCAAATTTTAGTCTATTTCCCTCTTTCATAGTGCTAAGATCCAGGCAGGCCCGGCCTGTGTAGAAATATTTAAGGGAAAAAGAAATTATACGATAAACAATGTGGTATATTCATATTGTAACTTTAATGTATTTTATGCCTAAACAGACTTAACCCTTTAATAAACATGTTGGATTTGTTTTGACAATCATGGTGTGTTGGACTGAACTCATTTTATAGTGTGTCATGCTTTTGTGAACACGCTTACTTTGATCCCTTTTGATTTTATTCCTCAATCATTTGCAACGTATTTTTCCAATATATATATTAATATTTCTTTTCAACAAGCACTCCACTGAATTTCGTAGGTTTTTTTTTATGTACCACATTTTATAGCTGTATAATGGCATTAAATGATATTATTAGTTTTCTTTCTCATATTATAATTATTTTTTTTAGCTCTCAAGATTTAAACTTTAAACCTTATGATGAATTTATGTACGAAATGACGTATAAACTATTTTTGCAACCACATTATTATAATACAACTAATACTAGTATTATCTTTCTTTTTTTTTTTAAGGAAATAGTAGTATTATCTTTATATATATTATAAAAACAAATTTACAATGAATTTCATTGCGGACTAAACCAGATACTCACATTTATACATTTATGTCATTAACGGAAGGAAGTATTGTGTAATCACTTTAAAACACTCTATTTAGAATATGTTTAATTTAATAATTATTATTTATTTTATGGTTATTGAAATAATATTATTTCAAATGTACCTTATTTTATGTGTATAGTTATGAATTTGTATAATTTATTCAATGAGTAAATAACAAAGTATAAAAGTATCATTACAAATTATTTTACATATTTATGCACCGATATCATAATTTATGAACATTTTTTTCGTCACCTGTATATACATGTAATGACCCGTATTTTTACTTGATATGATATCGTTCATTTTGGGCTTGAGCACGTACGAATTTATTTTTGGGCTTTACCTAATGATACCTCATACCAATAGGAGGCGGTATCCTTTTTATACCATCACTTATACTCTTCTTTAAGCGATGTAAGATTGTACTACTTACTCTATCTTGACCCTTATGACTCAATAAATTGATGGTTATTTTAATTACTCCTTATTTTGAGGGCCTAATGACCCGCACATTCACTTTGTATGATATTACCTGCTTTAGCCTAAACTTACACGGTTTTATTTTTTGAGCTTCACCTAAGAACTCATATCACTAGGGCACAATGTCTGTCGTTATAAACTATCACCTATAACATTTTTTATATGATGTTGAACTACACAACTTACCATATCTTAATCATTTTATCTCAGGAGATTAATGCCCGATATATATATATATAAACATATAAAAGAGCCAAATAAATTGACTCTCCTTTAACAATGTGTCAGCCTCTTATTTATTCTTAATGTTTTATTTTATTTTATTAATATTTTTCACTTTTCTTAAAACTCCTACACAGCTTTTTTTTTATCATTTCCTCTTTTAAAAAAGAAATTTTTCTTATTTTCTTTTAACTATTGTCTTTTTTTCCCTTAATATTCTTTCACAGTTATTTATCTTACAATATCTTTTTTGAAATACTAATTTTTTATTTTCTTTTAATTAAAATAATTATTTTCAAATATTTCTTTATTTAATTTTTTTTTGTCAAACTCTAATATAAGTTATTCTTCTTCAATGTGATTTGTTGCAATATTTTTTTTCTCTTACTCCAATCAATAGATTTAATTTCTAAGAAAACCATGTGTTTTGACGCAAAATCAATCTTATAAAGTTATTTTTTACGTGTATAGTATATAACTCAACTAGTATAATTAAAAAATAGAGAGACAAATACTGTTAGAGTACATTAAATCTACCCGAAGAAGAATACATACAAGACAATAATGGGCCTATACAGCTACAAAATCTACTTCTTATCCTAATTAAGTGGGCCAGTCCACCTTGAGGTCATAGAATTTAGAGAAATTGTAAAAACTGACCCTTAAACACATCTTCATGGAGTTTTACACTTTTATTGTGATAAATTATCATTTTGATAATAATTTATCAAATTATCGATAATAATTTATCAAATTTTAGATAGTAATCTGTCAAATTATGCCCACCGCTGGTAATATTTATCAAATTATCAATAATAATCTGTTAAATTACTTATTATAAAGGTATAAAATTTAATAAGCTAATATTGAAATCTAAAAATTCGTACTATTTTAAAGAGCATTTGTTAAAATTATTCTAAAATTTAAAAGCCCATATTCCGTATTGATAGAGAGGAGACATCTTTTTCACGTGGGCCATGAGTATTGGTGAATGTGGGATGGACAGAGGAATGCAGTTTTACAATTGAGAAAAGTTCATGGTTTTATGGAGAGGTATTATTTATGTTATTTTAAATAATTAAATAGTGATTTTTTATTAATTAAATGATTATTTTTATTTTTTAGTGAAGTGACATAAATAATACTTTTTATCATGTTGAGTTGTATTTTTTTTTATTTTTGCTCTTTTAAATTTGTATAATATTAAAGTTAATTTGAAAGTGGCATAAGTGAACGGTTGGTAAGTGGATTCATATTATGATTTGAATCATGGTTCATGATTCGTTACAGTGTTTTCTCTCACAAAAAATTAACGTAAATCAAAAATAGTTATAATCTCATGATTCTAATCCATGAACCAAATATAAATGTCGTGGGTAGCCTAATTTATACATGAAAATGTCAGCCCCAAATGAAGAAATGTTACGTTTTTTATGTGCCATTCTATTAAGAATTTTGCAACCTTTAGCTCAATATATAGAGGGAATAATAGATGGCCAAAAATTTATAGAATTTAAACAGGATATATTAAATTCCGAAGGCCATTCATATAGAATTCTCTTGAAATTTATTCCAAATTGGAAAGAGTATTTTTTGTTTTGTTTTGAGCTTTGTACATTAAAAGTACTTATTAATGATACATATTTCTGAACTTTAAATCTTATCAAAATTACATCAAAATGATACATATTTCTGAACTTTAAATCTTATCAAAATTACATCACTTGATACTATATAAACAGTTTAAACTTCTTCTTCTTCTTCTTCTTTCTTTTTTTATTTTCTTTCTTAGGATTCGCACTTTTAATACGAATAGCAATGCATTAATGATTAATCTCGTTATAGTTGAATGGATACCAATTAATTCTTAAGATTAAACAATAGGAGATCCGTACATCATCCTGTGTCGGTGGTATGGTAGCTGTATTTCACTTACAACTAAAAACTTTATAATTAAACACGGCTTCACCTAAATCTTCAAACACCCACATGTTTGTGTGGAAATTATTGTCCTCTCATCTCTAGAGACACAATTTTTCCTCTTGCTGAGAAAAACACACAATTATTAAGAACAAACTTTTCAAACAACCGCTCACCTGCCTAATGTGGTAGATTTAGGCATAGAACATCACATTTGCATGGCCAATCAATGACCTAAACGGAAATAAACTAAAAAAACAA